GCCTCCCCTCCTGCGGGGGGGCCCGCTGCCAGTACCGTGAGTGCTGCCGGCCCGTGGTGAGGGTGGCTGGGGACCGCCTGGGAGGTTGCACTGTGGGTGCCCCCTCTTCTGAGGGATGCTCTTTGGGGACCTCTGGGGACAGCGCCTGAGAGGTTGGACTCCCAGGTCCCCCTCTTTGGGGGATGCTGTCTGGGGACCCCGGGTGGTGTGGAGCTCTGCGGGGGACCGTGGCCACGAGCAGCCCTCCGGAGGGGCCGGTGGTCCAAGGGGCTGGCGTGGCGCTGCCCGCCCTGACCCCACCGTCCCCTGCAGGGCAGTGCTTCGACTACTGTGAGAACGAGGGCGTCTGCCAGATGACGGCCAGTGGTGCCAAGCAGTGCCGCTGCCCTCCGCAGTTCGAGGGCATCCAGTGCCAGGACAACAAGTGCTCCCGGTGCCAGGAGGGCAAGTGCAGCATCAACAAGCAGAGCGGAGAAGTTTCCTGCATGTAGGTGTCAGGGACATCGAACTCCAGGGAGGAAGAGGGGATGGTGGGCACAAGGACCCAAAAAAAGCCCACCTGCGTACCTGTGGCCAGATCATTGGAGATGGGCCATGGCTGGGAGACGTGGGGTCAGTGATTCAGGGCAGCTGAGAAATCTGGGAGGCCTCAGGGCCCCGGGAGGAGGTGGTGGAGGTGTCCCTCCCCCAGGCCCATCCTGGTGTCCCAGCCGCCGTTGGTGTGGCACAGCCGTGAGCTGTGCCGGAGGGGTGAGCTGACGGCCTCCAGCACGCAGAGTCACGGGTGCTGGGGGGGGTACGGGGCAGGCTGGGGGTACACGTGTCCCCCATCCTCTCTGCCCCGCAGCTGCCCAGACGGCAAGATAGCGCCCAGCTGCCTGACCTGCGACAACTACTGCCTGCACGGTGGTACCTGCTCCATCAGCGACAAGACGCAGCTGCCCGAGTGCCTGTAAGCAGTGCTGGGGGCTGGCGGGAGGTTGCTATGGGCGGGCTACTTGGCCCCCCCAAGCAGAGGTGACTGACAGACCCCAATCTGTGTGTCCTCCCCGACCCCCAGGTCTGTGCCCCACCTCTCCCTCCCCCTCTGCCCGGGCGTGCGGTCACGGCCCCCGTTCACGCTCTGACTGTACCTGCGCCTCTCGACCCGCAGGAACAGCCTCCATTGTCATCCCCATTCTGCTGCTGCTCATCCTCCTCACCGTGGTGGCTTTTGTCTGGTACAAGTGGAGGATTAAAGGGTGAGTCTGGGCTGTTGGGGGCCAGGAGGGAGCGTTACCTAGCCAGGACCAAAACCCTCTTTGCAGGGCTTGAAAGCCTCGATTGTGTGGGATGAACAAGCCAGACTGCTGGGGAGAGGGAGGGGGGCTCCTGTTCACTGCACCCCGTGTTGCTGGCACTGACCCCCTGTTTCACGCCCTCCCCAGCGCCAAGGGCTTCCAGCACCAGCGGATGACAAATGGTGCCATGAACGTAGAGATCGGGAACCCCACCTACAAAATGTACGAGGGGGAGCCCGACGACGATGTAGGGGAGCTGCTGGATGCAGACTTCGCCCTGGACCCTGACAAGGTGAGGAGTGGGTCCCCCGTGGCACGGAGGGGCCGTGGGCTGCGCAGGGTGCAGCCCGAAACGGGGGATGCAGAGGCGGGGGGCACGTTGCTGCGGCAGCATCGGGGCTCCCTGCGTTGCTTTCGGTGCAGAGGAGGTCTGGGGGCTCCGACGGCACGCTGAGGCTTTGAGGGGTGGAGGCTGTGGGGAGGGGT